CACACGTGCGCGGCGGGGCTTCGGGGGTGGTGGACGGAGGGTTGTTCGTGGCTAGGGAGGAGGAGGAAGAGGAGGAGGAGGAGGAGGAGGTGGAGGAGGAGGAGGGGGTGGGGGGCACCGTCGCCGATACCGCCTTCGGCAACGGGACAACGCGGACCGGACGAGAGGCTTCGGCGGGGAGGGGGGAGGGGTTGGTCATGAAGCGCAGCCAAGCCTCCGCCCTGAACCTGATGGACGGCGGTTGCGCCCCCGGGGAGGATGGTTACGGGAGGGACGAGGAGTTGTAAGGCGTTCGTTCTACCGGTGTGTGCTGTACGTGTGTGAAGAGTACACGTAGGATACTCTAATATTTAGTGCACTGTTACCCTGGAAGGCGTTGTCCGCTGCCTCTTTTTGTTTGTTTGTTTGTTTGTTTGTTTGACGGGTGTTCCACCGTGTTCGTTAAGGATGCGCGCGCGCGTGTTTTTCGTTGGGATTGAATACATGGCAGATGAGGGCTGTGGCGTGACAACGGCGGTAGTGGGGCGCACTTCTGGGCTGAGCCCTCGCTGTTTACGTGGAGAGAATCATCGGTATCTGAGGCAGTGTTTTACGAAACATGTATTTAGGTATCTCGCTCCCGGCTTGGACCAGAATGTACGCTGGCACAAAATTTGGCTAGCGGTTGCTCGGCATCGCGCCACCTCTCGACGCTAGCCCCTTCCTGTGAAACACTGCAGCCCCTGTTGGTTCGTCTCTTTTTTGGGGGGGGGGGGTGGTATCTTGCATGTCACGCTTCTTCGTTGGAGGCTGCCTGGCTAGTTTCATCTTTTATCACAAGAGATTATGGTAGTAGAAACCGCAAACTACCAGGACCCCCAACTCCGATATGGCCGTGTTGGGTGTCCAGTACAGTGTGTGTGTGGGGGGTGTTGAGCGCCGGTGCCCGCTGTAGTACCGGCGTTTTCGGCGGGCACAGACGGAATGACCAAGCCGTTCGGTGCAGTACTTGAATAGTACATTACCGGTGTCCGGAATAGTGCCGGTGAATTTCCTTGGCACACACCGGCACTACGTAGGGACCTTCACTACTGTACCTACCTACTCTTGGCTTAACGAGAAGCCACATTTTTTATCGTTTGGTGTTGGTGGGCCAAGGAAGGCCGGCGGGCGGCGTCGGTCCTGCGGCATCTTCGGGGTAGATACGAATGCTGTGTTGTTGTTTCTTCGTCGATGTGATGGCCGGCTACGTTTCACGTGTGAGCCAAGGCCTGGGAATTGCGGCAGTTCAAAAACCCCAGTCCTGTTTGACCTGCGAAGTTTGGCAGTTCTAGAACCCGAGTCCCGAGTTGCTTGTTCATATTATTCGACCTTGAGCAGAGATTGTGATGACGGTTTGAAGGCGCTGCACGAAACCCTTGCAGTCGCTAATGGGTGACTCGCAAGGGTACAGGCTGCGAGCTTCGCAGAACCTGAGATGTTCTGAAGACGTTGTACGTTGGTCTTAGGGAAACGACAGAGTGCAAAGACTCGCTACAGCGTATCCATACGTGGAAAATATTAAGTAACAGAGCGGACTGCCGATCATGTTTTGGCTGCGCTTGTTTGCCTCGCACACCAAACCCTGAGGTTCCGTTCGAGTCCATTTTTTGTCTTGTTGTCTGCTCTTCGGGTCTTGGCGGGTATTGGTACTTGGGGTTTCCCGCGGTATCCTAGCCTAGACCGTCTGGTGGTGGGTTGATTTTTCCGACAGTGATAGCTGGTACGACTTTTCTTGTTTTGAGTTGCGATGCGAAATTCCTTTCTTTGTTTCTTCTGTGGAGTTTATGGTCGCAATGGATCCCCTTCATCCTCCGAAACAGTCCTGTTGACAGTTCCGTGGGAAATGTTCATGGGATTTCCCAAGGAATGATATACTAGTGTACCCCCCTGCGCAGTGCTGATGGGGTTGCGAAATCGTCAGCATGTCGGTCGCGTCTCTCGGTATTGGCATCGTCTGTGATTGTTCCCAAACACTGATTCTGCGGGGAAAAACGAGTAACCCTATTGGCTCGACTCACCATCTGTGTGCTTGTAGATTCCGGTAGTATATTGTTGTTCGTGCCTGCTGTGTTTCTCAGAGAAAAAAAATGCAGGAAAGGAAGTTGCAAACAGAACAACAAGTCTGCTTCGTCCATCCTCATTGTTTCTTTCGGTGGTTCCCGGGCGGGTCGGATCATCATCGCAACGCGTTGGTCCTACTTCGTATCTTTTTTGTGCGAACAAAGGGCCTGGAATCAGCCGCGGTGATGATTCGCCTTGCTACAAAGAAAAGCATACGTTATTTGGCTGACGGCGGGACAAACAACGATCGTACTCTCCTGTTGATGATTTTCGTTTGGGCCTTGAAGCGTGCGCGTGTTTTTTGTCATTTGTACCAAGCCGACGGCCTTTTGTTGGTGGCAACAATTGGATGGCCAGGTTCTCCTCGAATATGAGTGGAGAGTTTCGGGAACCAACGAACGAACGTGGAAGAGAGGCCAGAGTTGATGAAGGTGGAACCGACTAACCGCACATACACAAAACCTCGAATAGTGGGGGGGGGTGACACTCTCACATCCCCGGCGTTCATCCCCGGGGCCTCCACACGAATTCAGTTTTGGTGAGGACATCTGGAGAGATACTGCGGGGGGGGGGGGGGGGGGGGGGACCCCCCCATGATTTTCTCCCATCTGTTTCTAATTCCTCACTCGTTACTAC